GGCACAATCTGTTAAATTGACCTGGAAGGCTAATTCAGATGACGGTGGCTCTGAAATCCTTGGATACATTGTTGAGAGACAGCAGGTTCCCAAGACAGCCTGGTACACTGTAGACACCAGGGTGGTGGACACATGTCTGGTTGTGAAGGGACTGAAGGAGGGACAAGAGTATCACTTCAAGGTGACAGCTGAAAACACATTCGGTATCAGCAGATCTCTGAAGTTAACGTAACCCCTTGTCCCAAAGACTCCTTTCTGTAAGTATTACTTTATTGATCCCTTATTACATGAGTATGCAAACATATACACTCACTGGACAGTTTATTAGGTACACTGTGTCGGACCCCCCTTTGCCTCCAGAACAGCCTGAATTCTTCGGGGCATGGATTCTACGAGTCGGAAACGTTCCACGGGGATGTTGGTCCATGCTGACGCAATGGCATCACACAGTTGCTGCAGATTGTATGACAGTACACCACCGCCACCAGCCTGTACCGTTGACACCAGGCAGGCTGGGTCCATGGACTCATGCTACTTACGCCAAACCCTTACTACCATTAGCATGACGCAACAGGAACTGGAATTCATTGGACCAGGCAATGTCCAGTGTTGGTGATAGCATGCCCACTGGAGCCGCTTCTTGTTTTTTTAGCTGATAGGAGTGGAACCCGGTGTGGTCGGCTGCAGCAATAGCCCATCCGTGACAAGGATTGACGAGTTGTTCGTTCCGAAATGCCGTTCTGCACATCACTGTTGTACTGCACCGTTATTTGTCTGTTTGTGGCCCGCCTGTTAGCTTGCACAATTCTTGCCATTCTCCTTCGACCTCTCGCATCAACGAGCTGTTTTCGCCCACAGGACTGCCGCTGACTGGATGTTTTTTGTTTGTCGCACCATTCTAGGAAAACCCTAGACACTGTTGTGCGTGAAAAGCCCAGGAGGTCGGACGTTTCTGAGATACTGGATCCGGCGTGCCTGGCATCGACGATCATACCACGCTCAAAGTCACTTAGGACACTTGTTCTGCCCATTCTAACGTTTTCTCTGATTAAAACCGGTCCCCCAGAGACATCAAGCATCGCACCAGAGGTTATGGATGTCACTAAGAGCTCGGCCTCTCTGTTTTGGTCGAGACCTAAGGATGACGGTGGCTCTGCAATTACTGGATATTTTAGTACAAAGAAGTGACCTCTGAGACATGGATCCGTCATGAGAAGAAGGTAGTTTCAACCCAGTTTACCGTCCCTAGACTCGGCTGACGCCGAGTACCAGTTCTGTGTTATTGCTCAAAATGATATTGGAGACAGCGAACAAGGACCTGTATCTGAACCAGGCACATGCAAAGATCCATTTGGTGAGTTAGAAACAGATAACCATGTCAGATGTCATGTCATGATTGATGACTTAGCTAACCATGTCATGATTGATGACTTAGATATACATTGAACTGCTACGTTTTTACATTTGCCCTGCTCTATTCTTCCAGACAAACCAAGCCAACCAGGCGATATTGACACAGTAACTGTCACAAAGGATGCTGTCGCCATTAAGTGGGCGGCGCCAGAATGTGATGGTGGAAAGAAGGTCCTTGGTTACTGGATTGAATGCAGGAAGTCTGCAGAGGCTACCTGGAAGAAATGCAACAAGATGTGCACCAAGGAGAAACAGTTCACCATTACTGGTCTGGCAGAGGCCGCTGAGTATGAGTTCAGAGTGATGGCTGAGAATGAGACCGGAATCAGCAGACCACGCAGAACAGCCACATGCATCAAAACCAAACTGGGCGGTAAGTGACTGAAGCAATTAATTATTTCACCTTTATTTATTACTTGTTTATAATACCTTGAGAAAGTAAGGTGATACAATTATTTTTCCAACAGTGGTCCTCTGTAGCTCAGCTGGTAGAGCACGGCGCTTGTAACGCCAAGGTAGTGGGTTCGATCCCCGGGACCACCCATACACAAAAATGTATGCACGCACGACTGTAAGTCGCTTTGGATAAAAGCGTCTGCTAAATGGCATATTATATTATTATATTATTATTATATTATATTATATATTATATTATATTATATTAACAGCTGGAACTCAACCAAGCCTGAAGAAAGAAATGGATGAAGTTACCACTAAATAATACCAACCAGGAATTATGAAATGCCAGATTATTGGTAGACCTCTTTCCGATATCAAATGGTATAAATCTGGCAAGGAGATCGAGTATCGTAAATATGAGATGAGCTCTGATGGCCGTAACCATTCACTGACCATTATGACAGACCAGACAGACCAGCAAGAGGATGAAGGAGAATACACATGCAAGGCTATCAACGATGCAGGTGAAACAGAGACCAGTGGCGTTCTGGTTTTGGAAGCTGCTCCCCAGTTCAAACCTGACTTCCCGTTGAAGAATACCTACTATGCCGAAAGCGGCACCACTCTGCGTCTGCATGTTGCCTACGTCGGACGCCCTGAGCCTAAAATAATCTGGCTTTATGGAGCTACAACTGTGGTGGCTTCTGAGAATATCAGCATTGAAAACACAGAGCATTACACTCACCTGGTGATCAAGAATGTGCAACGCAGGGTACATGGAGGAAAATACAGAGTCAGACTGCACAATCACTTTGGCAGAGCTAACGCAATCATCCATGTTGAAATCCAAGGTACTTTTACATTGAATTAGCAAAAATCTACAAATTGTTTATGATCTACAATGTGTTTTACAATGTGACTACAAACTAATTGTGAATAATTTACTTCTTGTTTTCAGATAAACCTGCAATGCCTGAAATGTCCCATTGTACTTGATGCCCTTTTAAAGAACTCTGTGATTATTAGCTGGAAACCACCAAAAGGTGATGGTGGATCAATGATCACAAACTACATTGTGGAGAAGCGTGAAGACAAGGAGGGCGATGACTGGACACTCGTGTCCTCATCCATCACAGGCACAAACTGTTGTAAATGCTGGGTACTTCTTCCGTGTGTATGCTCAAGATCGTTATGGCAACAGTGAGCCACTGGAGATCCCCACTCCCATTCTTATCAAGAGTTCAATGGGTAAGTTGAGTCTCACAATATAGTTACAGTACAAGATCATGTATTTGTACAAACATGAGATGAACATAGTTTTGGATCCTTACTAACGTTATTATGTTATATTTACAGATAAACCTTCACCACAACTGCTGCCAGTGGTCTCTGGTGTGACCAACGTTTCCTGTGTCGTGTCCTGGAAGCCTCCTCTCACTGATGGTGGCTCCAAGATCAAGAGCTACTGCCTTGAGAAGAAGAGCGAATGGACACTGGTCACTACTGATGAAATCAAATCCACAGTCTTCTCTGTCAAACGCCTCACAGAGGGATGCGAATACATCTTCCGCGTGAACTGTGAAAACCTTGGAGGAGTGAGTGAATGGAGTGTGGAATCTGAAGCAGTCGTTCCAAAGATTGAAGATTCAAGAGTTCAAGGGAGACTATCACCAACTGGTTATCTCTGCTGCTGATGAGGAAGACTCTATTGTCTACCAGATCAGAGCAACCAACCAGGGAGGATCCATCTGCACCACTGTCTCTCTGTGTCATGAATCCCGCTTCCTGAGTCGGTTTCTGCCTGAGTTGCCTGTTTTCTGTCCTGGAGTCTTTTTTTTCCTGAGTTTCCTGAACGCACCCTGTCTGGTTGCCGGGCGACGAGGCAAGGCGGGAGATCTCTCCATTACCCGCACCTGCATCTCATCAGCTATCTGCACACCTGGTTCTGATCATCACCTCTCCACTTCATAAGCTCTGACCTGCCATCCATTCCCTGCCGGATCGTTAGCCATGAACAGTATGTTGTGCCTGCGTATCAGCCTCAGATTACTAAAAGTTAGTTTTGCTGTTCTGTTACTTTTTGCTTGCTGTGAACTCACCTTTGTTTCCTCTGTCTACAGTTACTCTCCCGGAATATTCACTCCACCTCTGCCTGGTCGTCTGTGGCTTCAGAAACATCATTGGATCTGCCCATTCACTCCCACCAGCTCACCTCCACTGCCAGCTCTGTCACCTGGATTCTCTTGCTTCCACATTTAAGTCTTTAAATAAATACTCACCTTCATTCAACTCACCTTGTCCTGGTCTGCTTCTGGGTTCCGCTTTAGAGAATCGTGACACTGGATGTTGAAGGTAAGCTCACTAATGTGTATGCAATAATACTTACATAGTATACAGTACATGTACAGTTGTACATTAACATGAATACAATTCCATGTATTTGTTCCACATATAAATAACAATATCAGTACATTTATAATACTTATTTGTTTGTTACTTATGATGTGAAATCTTAACCTGCCCAAGAATCTGAAGGACAAAGAGGCAATCCCTGCCCTCCGGGGAGAGATTTTGAATATCAAGATTTAATTCAGTGGCAAACCCAATCCTGTCATCATCTGGCAGAAGGGACAAGACCTCATCGATAACAACGGATACTACCAAGTCATCGTCACAAGGTCATTCACATCGCTCGTGTTCCCCAATGGAGTTGATAGGAAGGATGCTGGTTTCTACATCGTTTGTGCCAAGAACAGATTTGGCATTGACCAACAGACAGTTGAACTGGATGTTGCAGACGTGCCCGACCCACCACGTGGTACCAAACAAGTGATTTTTCAAGAGACTCAGTCACTCTGAGTTGTCAAGTACCTGCTAATGATGGTGGAAGCAGAGTAACCAGCTACGTTGTGGAGAAGTGTCCCACAACAGCTGACCGATGGGAACGTGTTGCACAGGCTCGTGATACTCGCTACACTGTCATCAACAAGTTCGGAGGAACCAGCTACCAGTTCTGAGTCATAGCCGAGAACAAATTGGGTCAAAGTCAACCATGTGAACCAAGCGGTCCCGTTACAACAAAAGAGGACAAATCAAGAGTCCTTGGCTATGACAGCGAGGTTTGTGACAGAGATGTTCCCAAGCAAAAGGCTCCCCATTCAAGTGCCAAGAATGTGCATACCAAGTACATGATTGCTGAGGAGCAGGGACGTGGCCAGTTTGGTATCATTCACCGTTGTGTTGAGACCAGCTCTGAGAGGACATACATTTTCGACAAGGTGAGGGGTGCAGATCAAGCATTCATCAAGAAAGAAATTGCAACACTGAAACTGGCCAGACCCAACAACTTCTTGTGTCTTCATGAGTCCTTCGACAGCACTGAGGAATTAGTCATGATCTATGACTTTGTCTCAGGTCAAGACATCTTTGAATGCCTCGGCACAGCCGACTGAGCTGAATGAGTGTGAAATCACCAACTACATCAGACAAGTATGTGAAGCTCTTGAGTTCTTACACAACAAGAGTTTTGGTCACGTTGACATCAGACCTGAGAACATTGTGTACACCATAAGAAAGGGCAGTAAAGTCAAGATCATTGAGCTAGGACAGGCAAGACACCTGACTCCTGGGGACCAGATCAACATTACATTACATTTTAGTCATTTAGCAGACAAGGTTCAGTACACTACAGCTGAGTAGTGCTCCTGAGATTCACCAGAATGACATGGTCAGCAGTGTTACTGACATGTGGCCAGTTGGTGTTCTAGTCTATGTCCTTCTCAGTGGACTCAATCCATTTACCGCCGAGACTCATCAGCAGATGATTGACAACATCTCAAATGCTGAGTACAGTTACGACGACGAAACCTTCAAGGTGCCTACTGTTGAAGCATTAGACTTTATCAACTGCCTTCTCACCAAGGAGTGCAAGCACCGGATGACTGCTGCCCAGGCTTCAGAACGTCCTTGGCTGAAGATGCCAGCAGAATAACTTTGCGCCACAGCAATAACGACCACAAGGCACACGAGATACTACCAGGCCATGGCAAAGAAAGAATGGGCCACTGTCGTCGCAGGAGCAAGAGTCACTAGCGGCGATGCAATCAGAGCCTAGAGAGTTGTCACAGTTGCCAAAGTAAAGATTGCACCATTTGAACATGGTCCAGTCGGTGGTCAAATCCTTCATACAGTGGTGGATGTGGGAGCAGATGTCAAATTAGTTTGCAACATTGAGAACTACGACAGTACCACAGAGGTAACATGGTAGTGCGGTGTGCGTCAACTAGAGGCATGTGACAAGTATGAAATTGACTATGAGGATGGTCTGGCTGTCATTTGTATCAATGACGTCACCAAAGTAGATGACGGCACCTATAGATGCAAGATCGTCAATGAGTACGGTGAGGACAGTGCCTACGGAGAGCTCTTTGTGAACGAAGTCAGATCATACCGCTAGCACTTCACAGCTTGTGTGGTGAAGAAGATGAAACGTAGAGTAGACACAGTAAGACTGCTCCAGAAACCACCAGAGTTCACCCTGCCCCTGTTCAACCATGCAGCTTACATCGGAGAAGATGTTCGCTTCGGTGTGACTATCACCGTGCACCTTGAGCCACGTGTTACATGGTACAAATCTGGCCAAAAGATGGTCCCTGGTGACGATGAGAAAAAGTACACTTTCACAACTGACAAGGGTCTTTTCAATTGGTAATTCACTGTGTTGATGCTGATGAGGATGCGGAGTACTCTGTTGTGGCCCGTAACAGATTTGGTGATGACAGCTGTAAGGCAAAACTGGCTGTGACACCTCGCCCAGCTCCAAACGTGGAGTGTAGGGAAGGCCAGAATGCACGCTTTGAAATCAGTGTCAGGACTCCCAACTCTGAAGTGGGAGAAGGATGGCATGCCATTGGCATTTGGTCCACAAATTGAAGTGTTCCATGAGGGTCTGGATTACTTTGCCCTGCATGTGAAAGATACTCTACCTGACGATTCTGGCTGTTACAGAGTTATTGCAACCAATTCAGCTGGATCTGCCAGTTGTCAAGCCATTCTCAAGGTGGACCGTGTCACCCATGTGAAGAAGGTTTACGAGAGTGACAGAGACAAAAAGAAACAAGCAGAGAAATAACAAATTGAGAAGAAGGTCAGATTATCTGATGTCATGCCACTTCCTGCTGTGGCACAACACGCTTTGAGAAAAACTGCATTGTTGTGCAAACCAGTAGAGGCAACCCAGAAGGACAAGACTGAAGCTGAAGATAGGAAACGGGCAGAAGAAAGGGCAAAGAGAGCAGAGGAGAAGAGACTGCCAACCTCGTGAACGTGGACCAACTGCTCTTTTGGAAGACATGGAAATCAAACACTATAAACCTTGCTCCGAATCAAACACTATAAACCTTGCTCCGACATGAAATGGTACAAGAAACTCCGCAATCAATATGAGTTCCCTGAACCAATGGACAAGATTTCACAGAAGAGACTGAAACGCATCCGTCTCTCCAGGTGGGATCAGTTCTACGAAGTCCCTCTACCAAGAATCAAGGAATCTTACAAGCCAAAGTGGCGTCTTCCACAAGTTTCACAGGATGATTTGGAGACTGTCAGACCTTCAAGGCAACACACGCCTTCTCCTGAAATAGAAGCATATCAAAGAATCAGAAGAAGGTCTCTTGGTGATCTCTCAGGCGAGGAGCTTCTCCTGCCAATTAATGAATATCTGACAATGAAGATAACTGAGGAGACTTCAACTTGAGGAAGAACTTGAACTTGGCTACTCTGCTTCCCCACCAAGCCTTAGGCCTGTGCACTTTGAATTAGGTGCACTGCACCACACATCACCAAGACGTTCCATGAACGCCTACCAGACCTTGGACGTGAACTGGGGACCTCGGTCGGACACTATATCCTCTGGTACCCCGTAGTGCCAGAAGACGTGAGTAAACAGGGCCTCCGCAGTTTGCAGGGCCGTGGGGAGACCGGGCAGAGGAAGGAGGCGGCAGGACTTGGAAAAGCGGTCTACAACGACCAGGATGGTGGTGTTACCTTGGGAGAGGGGAAGATCAGTCAAGAAATCAACACTTAGGTGAGACCATGGTTGTTGTGGAAATGGTAAAGGTTGTAACTTACCTGCTGGGAGGTGCCTAGGTGCCTTACTCTGGGCGCTCACCGAGCAGGAGGAGACGTACACCCTCACGTCCTTAGCCAAGATAGGCCACCAGTACTTTCTGGTCAGGCAGCGCACTGTACGACCGATACCTGGGTGACCAGAGGAGGGTGATGTGTGTGCCCAGTAGATCAGACGATCATGGATAAGAGCAGGCACGTACCACAGCCCAGCTGGACACTGAGGTGGAGATGGATCTGTGCGTAATGCCTGCTCTATATCCGCGTCCATCGGCCATACTACCGGCGCCACAATGCAGGAGGCCGGGAGTATGGGGGTGTTGTCTCTGGGCCTCTCCTCTGTGTCATACAGCCGGGACAGTGCGTCTGCCTTCACGTTCTTCGTACCCGAAATGTATGACAGTGTAAAATGTATGACAAATGTATGACAGTGTAAAATCAAACCGAGTGAAGAATAGGGCCCACCTGGCCTGACGAGGATTCAGCCTCCTCGCTGCCCGGATGTACTCCAGGTTACGGTGGTCCGTCCAGACGAGGAAAGGGTGTTTCACCCCTTCGAGCCAATGCCTCCTCACGGTCAAACCTCGGACAACAGCCAACAGTTCCCGATCACCAACTTTGTAGTTCTGCTCTGCCGGGCTGAGCTTCTTAGAGAAGAATGCACAGGGGCGGAGCTTGGGTGGCGTGCCCGAGCGTTGATATAGGACAGAGCCTATCCCTACCTCGGACGCATCCACCTCCACTACGAACGGTAGTGATGGATTGGGGTGGGCCAGTACCGGGACTGAGGTGAACAGACCCCGTTTCCTGAAGGTCAGCCTCAGCAGACCAGCGGAGCCGGGACGGCCCACCCTTCAACAGGGATGTAATGGGAGCTGCGACCTTGCCAAAGCCCCGGATAAACCTCCGATAGTAGTTGGCAAAGCCAAGGAAGCGCTGCACCTCCTTAACCGTGGTTGGAGTCCGCCAATTACGCATGGCTGAAATGCGATCTCCCTCCATTTCCACACCTGAGGTGGTAATGCGGTATCCGAGGAAGAAGACGGACTGCTGGAAAAACATACACTTCTCTGCCTTGGCATAAAGGTCATTTTCCAACAGTCAGGCCAGTACTTTGCGAACCAGGGACACATGCTCGGCGCGCATGGCGGAATACACCAGGATGTCATTGATGTAGACCACTACTCCGCGACCAAGCATGTCCCGAAACACCTTGTTCACAAAGGACTGGAAGACGGATGGAGCATTCATCAAACCGTAGGGCATCACCAGGTAGTCATAATGCCCCGTGGTTGTGCTGAATGCTCTCTTCCACTCATCCCCCCTCCCGAACACGCACCAGGTTGTATGCACTCCTGAGATCTAATTTGGTGAAGAAGCGCGCCCCATGCATTGACTCAATCACTGAAGGAATGAGGGGGAGAGGATAACTAAATCTTATCGTCTCCTTGTTCAGTGATCGATAATCAATGCACAGGCGCAGACCGCCGTCTTTCTTCTTCACAAAGAAGAAACTCGAGGAGGCGGGTGAAGTGGAGGGACGTATATACCCCTGGCCCAGGGACTCAGTGACGTATGTTTCCATAGCCTCCATTTCAGCCTGCGACAGGGGGTACACATGACTCGTGGGAGGTACAGCGTCTACCCGAAGGTTTATCGCGCAATCCCCCGCCCGATGAGGTGGTAATTTTGTCGCCTGCGTCTTAGTAAACGTGTGCGCCAAATCGAGGTATCCGTGGGAATGTGCACGGTAGAGGTACCGTCTGGACTTTCCACCGGGGTTGCACCAACTGAAACACCTAGACACCTACCCTGACAGTCTCGCGACCACCCCGTGAGAACCCTCTGCGGCCATGAGAAGGTGGGGTTGTGGAGTGCTAGCCAAGGGATACCTAATACCACAGGGAAAGCAGGAGACTCAATAATCGAAAAAGTTACCTGCTCACAATGAGTCTCCTGGATGATCATTGTGACTGGTACAGTAACTTCCTTAACAAACCCGGACCCTAATGGTCAACTATCAAGTGCTCTGATGGGGAGTGGAATGGATGGGGGAACCAATGAAATGCCTTGACGGCGTGAGAATGCCCTGTCCATAAAGTTCCCAGCTGCAGATGGCACCGGAAATGGTCGATCAGGGCCTGCTCGTTCCACCCGGACCCCGCTGCAAGAGTCCGAAGCTCCAACGCGAAGTCCTGCGCGGTCCTCGTCCCCTGCCTCAGGTGGACCAGCCACTCGTCCGCCTCTCGACCTTCGGGCAGGTGATCAAAGACAGCCCGAAAGAGGCGAGCGAACTCCCCGTAGTTCTCCAACGCGGCTCCTCCTTCGTTCCAAACAGAGTTGGCCCACTCCAGGGCTTTCGCCGAGATGCAGGAAACGAGGACGGACCTCGATGGGGCCGGCCTGATGCTGGAGAAGTAGAGCTCCAGTTGGAGGAGGAATCCTTGGCAGAGCGCCGCCGTCCCGTCGAACGCCCGTGGTCGGGATATCTGGATCCCTCCGGGTGCTGGGGTGTAGGTGGCTGGATCCGGTTGGCCAGCTGGTCTCGACAGATCGGGTCCTCTCCTCTCCAGGCGTTGGATGACCTGAAGAACCCGATCCATCGCTTCCCCCACGCTGGCCAGCATTGTGGAATGCTCCTGGACCTGTGCCACGACTCCAGGCATGCGCTCCTCTCCCGCTGACTCCATAGCGGGTGGGTGATTCTGTGATGAGTGTGATAGAAGGAGTCAGGCGCAGGAGGGTAATCACCGAATACAGATTTTATTCTGTCGTACACAACTGCGCTGGATAGCGACAACAGAAAACAGGCACAGGGGAAACCATCTACCCTGGCAATACAAGGTACGGGTAGCTCCAACAATA